CATTATAAATAGACACTGTCGCTGAGTCTAAAATCAGTCACTTTCTACATCCAGAGACACGATAGCACAGAGCGGACCATATGCAGGAGTCGGCTGAGACTACAAAATATATCGAACCCATTTGAATTCTGCACAGAATGCTGTATTTTAAAGTGATATGGAGGAGATTAGGAGGAGAAACAGTTAGAGATTAGAAGGAAACTGCGGCTTTACTGAGCATAACCCTGTAGTGGAGCTGTGATAAATGAAAGGCTATTGCTATTTTTAAAAAGGGGAGGAGCTGTTCAATTTGCCACACCCTGTCTTCTTGTTTAAAGGTGCTCTAAGCGATGTCACGCGTTTTTTAGGCCAAAACATTTTTTGTCACATACAGCAAACATCTCCTCACTATCCGCTGGCTGCCTGTCCCTTGAACACATTGTAAAGAAACACGATCTCTGTAGACAGCCCAGGCTCCACAAACAGCAACAAAAATAAACTGCGGCGACCCGCTCCCCGAAACATAACAAACTGTTCCAGCCAATGACCGACATGAAGGGTTTGGGGATGTGGTTTGGGGGGTTAGTGTGCGGATGAGGAGGAGGGAGGGTCTAGCTAGCCTCCGTTTTGTTTGACAATAGTTCGAACGTCAACAAGAAGTGACGTCACCCAGGATCGCTTAGAGAACCTTTAAGTGGAATTTACGCCAACACATTGAATAATACTGCGTTTTTCAAGGCACTCCAGTAGGCCTTTAAAGATTATGAGGGCACATGAATTTTAAAAAACAATAATGACATCCACAGACAAACAATTTATAATAAATACTAAAATATACCATAAAAAAAAGAAGAATTGTCGATTTAAATTTCTTGGTGACAATCAACAAATAATGAGAGGTAAATTAATGGGTTCTTGTACAGCAAGCCACCACTGTCTAGTGTTTTTTCCGTCATAATCTGTGATCAGAAAATATGAAAAGTTTAGTTTAACCATAATTTGCACTTTTCTACTTAAAGGGATACTCCACCCAAAAATGAAAATTCTGTCATCATTTACTCACCCTCAAGTTGTTGCAAACCTGTATGAGTTTCTTTCTTCTGCTGAACACAAAGGAAGATATTTTGAAGAACGATTGGAACTTTGGCACCATTGACTTCCATAGTATTTTTTTTTTCTACTATGGAAGCCAATGGTGCCAAACAACTGTTTGGTTCCAATCGTTCTTCAAAATATCTTCCTTTGTGTTCAGCAGAAGAAAGAAACTCATACAGGTTTGCAACAACTTGAGGGTGAGTAAATGATGACAGAATTTTCATTTTTGGGTGGAGTATCCCTTTAACTGATTACACTGGTCTACAGCCAAAATGCTTCTGAAATAAATGTAGTCAAACTTTACAAATTCTGGGTCACTGAGAATCAAAATTATGCTTAAAATTGTTGCCTGGCTCTAGTTCTAGGCTCCAATTTAAGACACGATATTGGGTCAGTATATGACCCTTGACTTGGGAATGGCGGAGGATAAGTAAGTAATAAATGGAAGGGATCTAAATTTGAACCAGAAATGACTAAAATACACCTTTGACTGTGTAACAGGGTTCAGATGTTATGGGAATAAGGAGGCGGGAACCGGCGAACGTTCAACAATTTTAATAATGGTAAATGGACTGCATTTATATAGCGCTTTCACAGACCCAATGGCCACCAAAGCGCTTTACAATTTGCCTCACATTCACCCATTCACTCACTCATTCATACACCGACGGGCGACGGCAGCCATGCAAGGCGCCATCCAGCTCGTCGGGAGCAGCTGGGGTTAGGTGTCTTGCTCATGGACACCTCGACACTTGGTCAGGTGGAACCGAGGATTGAACCACCAACCTTCCGGTTTGTAGACAACCAACATGAACCACTGAGCCACTGCCGCCCTAATAAATAAACAAATACAAAAACGAAAGTAAAGACGGCAGTCCCTCACGGTCGACTGCCGCCACACATCATAAAACAACACAACATAAAATCAGGCCTGTTCCTCTCTCGATCTTCACTGTCGTCGCTCCTCCTTTATGCTTCAGCTCCTCCGTGAGAGATACGAGACCGGAGCGTTGCGCAGGTGTCGCTCATTATCAATCACGCCACTGGCCTCGCGCCGTTCTCCCACGACCCTCGACCTCGTCCTGCTCGCCACAGACTGGGGCCACATTTACACTTAGCCGGGTATTTAGAGAAACGAATATTTCCCCCCTCCGTTTTCAATAATAACATCGTGCACACAACATCGTTTTCAAGAAAGTTGTAATTTACATCAACCCGCATAAATACGCCGTCAAGCGCCATCATAACTATGCCAAACCTATGGGCGGCAGTGTAGGGAGAAGAATAAAGCCATACAAGCCAATCAGAATCCTCAGAATCGACAACAACAACGAATAACACGAGCGACTTCCTGTTCCTTTCAAAACAACAAACATTCAAGGTTCGTTTGTGTGGACAGACAGCGAAGTTGAGTTACTTAATGTCGCTTTAGACTACAAGGCAAGTTTGCACTAAAGTAAAAATGAGTACCACCTTAACAGCATCCACGATCAGTAGCCAAACAAACTGTAAACATAGGGCACTCACATGACGTTAAGCATTTTCTGGCGCATAATGAGACGCTTGAGAACCTAAAACCCCGTTTCTCCGAGTTGACGATGCAACCCATAACCGGCGTTATCAGAAAGCTCCACTTTGGCCGGAGTTTTTAGAAATAATCGTTTTCTGTGATAAAAACAGGGTTTTCTGTGTAAATTAGAGGCCAAACCGCAGGGAAATATCTGCGTCTTCCCTTTGTGTAAAACGGCATGGATCTATGAATAAATCTATGACTGGGTTTGGACAGTTTCTGCTTTTTAGGCAAAACAATGAATGATGCAATCTGAAGCTGGCATTGCGTCATACATTATATGAAAGGCATCATATTATTCCTACAAAATCAAAATGATGCAATCATAATGAAGCATACATCACTCTGCTAATCAAATTGCCCTATATCAGCTCTAGAAATCATATAGCAGGGGTGCAAAACTAAATTCCTGGAGGGCCACAGCCCTGCAGTTTAGTTCCAACACAGATACCTGTGGTTTCCAAATAAGCCTGAAGGACTTGATGATCTGGATCTGGTGTTTAATTAAGGTTGAAGCTAAACTCTGCCAGGCTGTGGCCCTCCAAGAACTTTTTTTCTTGCACCCCTGTCATGCAGCGTTGTGCTCTCTTATTTGTTTTGCAGAGGGACACATTTTTCTGTTTAGCCAAAATGAGCAGAGATGCCTCGTACTTGTGTGAACAATGCAGATAACTTCAAATGGAGCCCGTAAGAGATGAATTTAATGAATACAAGAAGAGATGAGCCAAGAAGTGCAGAGTAGACAGAACTAAACTATCTATACATAATTGTTTTTGCCTTTTGTTTCATAATAAATTTGATTTATATAACCATTTTGATGATTTTTAAAATGTTACATAAACAGGACGGGTACTCTCTACACAATATACATAGACGCAAAATGTAAGTGCATTGGTGCTGTGATATTCGGACTACCGATGTTGGCTGATCTCTAAAAAATAAAACCCAACAACGTCACTACACCACTGTCCATTAAACAGGAAACAATGGTGTTCACAGGTCAAGTATCCTATATATTTAAATTATTATTTAAAAAATTATAAATATATATATATATATATTTATATTCAAAGGATTTATTAGAATAATGTATTAAGTAGTCAATATGTAGTAATAATAATGATCATTAGTATTATATTATTTAATTGTATACATAATATGCATAATAAGTTTTCTGTTGTAGCAGTCTAAAAAAGTTGTTTAAAAGCTGTCAAAAAAAAAAAAAAAAAAAATTCTGATGCGGATTAGACCAGCATGCAACCGAACCGACTATCGCGTTCCAAAACACAGCAATTACCTTAAAATGGATTTTGTTTAGCAGAGTAAATTACAATATTTATATAAGACTATTTTAATAGATATAGCCTATATATATGGCAACACAAACAAAATGCAATTAACGTCACGGGATGAATAAGGTACCCTTCTGACGTAATATTCAAACAGCATAATTTGTTAGGTGTGAGATCTGGCCAGTCTGAACTGGTACCAGTCAGTCAGTTCTGGGCTGATGCAACTCTTACAACAGATACAACTACAACTTCCGGTCATCAGTAACGTGTGTCTATGATGAGCGGGAACTCGTGTCGAGTGAATGAATGAAAACACGACGCACCGAGACTAAAAACACGACGTTTTGCGAAACAAATCTAAAATACAGCAAATGCAGGGAACAAAACCGAGGCATGTAATACATTTAAATAGACCATTTGAATAACATTTAAATTAGCGGTGTCCGTGCTTCCCAGAGCCATTGGGTATGGTTCTTCCTAGCTCGCTAAGACACACGTTTTACTTCTTCAAATAATAATCCCGCACAATAACAGAATAAGAGAAGGGCGAATATCATTTGGGGTATGTCATTAAATGTAATTTTATAAAATAAATATAATAATGAATGATAAATAAAATACATCGTTTGAAGAATATAAAAGTCTGCAACAGTAGCAAACAGTATTTGCAAACATAATTGCATGTATTTCGTAGAATCAAATATTAATTATATTACTATATTGACAATTGATGCACATAAATGAGTTGTTCCTTGTTTTGCAGAGTGCACTAGTGAGTCCAATGCTAACGTAGGTTACCCTACATTATAAAAAAAAAAAGATATTTTTTTCTTACCGTTATATACGTCGGCCTAATAGATGCAAATATTGAAAGGCTCGCGTTAATTTCGGGGCTGTAGGTTAATTTTTAGAAGATGATTTCATGCAATAGTTCGATTGCATCATATATATTTTACGTTACCGGTGCACTAATGGATCCATTCTGCAGTCAAGATGGACTGAAACGGTCTTATCTGTTGTACTAAAAGCCAATGTCTATTATATTCAGAAGAGTGAAAAGTTACCTCTTGGTTTCTGATGCGACGGTGCCGATAACTTCAGTTTGTTGTATTTACCTAGTCTGGTTGACCGTGTGCGAGTGATCACGCCTGACCTCATCCTCAGCTTCAGTCAGTCTTTACGTTTTGACGCTGACCAATGAGCTATCGATGACGTAGGGATAAACAAACCGTGCCGCGCGGTGTCTCCACCCATCCGCTGAAGTACAATCAGCTTTGAGTTTGAGAGGGTTCCCATTCATTCATTCGCAAGCCCCCCACCAACGTGAAAATCTATAGTATTTTAGTAAATGATTCACTTTCATATCGACAAAACTACGTAAAACACGCTAAGCCATTAGAACTCAAAAAATCCATCCCACTAGTAAATAAAGAACTTGCCAAAACATACGTAAGTGAGTAAAAGTAAAGCAGTACCTATTGATGAATAAGTAGGCCTGCTGATAAAAACAAGGGACCGTCAAGATTTTATCAGTAACTTTGATGCAAAAAAAGAAAAGAAAAACGTTTTTCTCAGTGTCCTATAGTGGATTAAAGGTTCATGTCAAAGATAAACTTTAATTTTATTTTTATCATTTTTATTATTATTATTTTTTTACATTGTTTTCTCTAAACTACTCCTTTGCAGCCCCCGGCTCCAGGACACACCCTGAAACTTGTCACCTGAAGATGTCAATTAAATTTAGCTGCAGCTTTGAAGCAACTACAAAATCAGATTAGATCAGATTCACCTTTATTTACAGAGCCTCTGACTCATGCATGACAAGTTTAATCTAATCTTAGCTGATTTTAAATAATTGTTTCAAAGCTGCGGCTGAATGTAATTGTCATTTTCAGGTGACAAGTTTCAGGGTGTGTCCCAGTCCTAGTGTAGTTTATGGACTCAGTGTAAACTAGACATTACCCAAATACCTAAATACCAAAATGAGAATTACTTCAGTGCCCTTGAGCATAACCTCATTGGTGTACAAAACTGAAAGAGCAGATCAAATCAACCTTGTGTGCACTATTAGATAAGTATATAGGTTACTATTTTTATTTCCACAACAATATTTTCATTTATTTATGGAGAAAATCAGAAGGTTCTGGCATGAAGAGACATTAGGTGATCCCATGGGAAGAGTGATCCATTAACCCCTTAAGGTTCACCATAGCCATTACATATATCCTATACTAAACCTATCCTAAACTATATATCATTTGAAAGCTTACAATCTGATTTTCAAAATAAATTACAGAAGAGCCGTAATCTATCAATTTGCAACAAAAATATTTTCATACTCCTTTAAGACCTTTATTTTGAAATAGTGATGAACATGAAAATCATGAAAGAATGGTAGAAACCTTCCCTTACTACTTCTGAATAGGATGCCTACTTCATAAATTGTATGAAAATTGTGGAAATAATGGTCCAGATCACTCAAAACACATATCACTCCAGATCACTCAAAGCCCAGCAGGTTTAACCCTCTACTGCACAGTGTTGCCATATGGCAACATACCCTTTCTTTGGACATTTCTTGAAATTTGAAAATAAACATGAGCTCTGATTGATCTTAAATTCATAATAGAACCTGGTGGTAACCAATGATATGCTTTGATGACATCACGACACTACACACACCCTTGCAACATCATTCTTTTCACACACTTTTGATGACTCCAGCTGCTGAAAAAGTGCTCGTGTATATGTGAAGATTTTCCTCATTTTTTTCATATTTCTTCGGAATAAAAAAATACATCAAGCATCTGGGATAAGTTCTAATCTTTTTTCAATCATTGTCACATTGTTTTGATACTTATATTACCTTTTTATTTAATAAAATAGGTATGTTGCCATATGGCAACATTGTGCGGTAATGGAACAATATTTTGCCCATGCTAATGCAGAGTAGCTTTGTATGAATGACAATGTATGGATGCACTGATATAGTTGGATGGTTGTATTATACTCATATATTTATATATATTTGTATATATTTATAAAGTAAAGTAAAAGTAAAGTATAAAAGTAAAATATATATCCGTCTTGACCGCTTTGATCACTGGCCAGAGATGGGTGCACCAAAAGGAAGGTGCAAGAATCCTGGCTGCAAGGGCATCGTCAGAGGGGTTCGCTCTAAGTGCAAGGTGCACCTCTGCCTTAAAGGTGGGGTATGTGATTTGCAAAACGGCCGGCAGATTTTGAAAATACACAACTCAAAAGGTCCTACCTTCTTTCCTCCAACGCTGGCCCTGACTCCACCCATTCGAAGAGGGGCATAGGGGGAGGGGGGTATGGTACGACCGTTTGATTGACGCACTTACTGTCCAATGATTCTAGGTGGTCTTGGAAATGATTGGCTGGAGTTTTTCAAGTCCTGCCCGTTCCACAGATGATAAAATTTTTTAATTTCCATCTCAGTGCTTCTAACTCAGTGGCTGTAAGTGGGTTAAGAATAGGATTTCAAGTGATTTTGAAAAAATGGTCAAAAAAGAAAATCACATACCCCACCTTTAACGGAGAGAACAACTGCTTTAAGGCGTTTCACATCGAGTAGTTTCACTTGAACAGTTCTTATGAGTTTGCGTCAGATGTTTTGTAAATGTTGTTGAAATAATCGTTTCACATTGAGTAGTTTCACTTGAACAGTTCTTATGAGTTTGCGTCAGATGTTTTGTAAATATTGTTGAAATAATACTTTGAAAATTAGTTTCATATTTTGTACACAAAGCTCTTGAAAACATTTTAAATAATAAAAACAATTTCATTTCTAAAAGACAGGTCTGTAATCATCTATGAATTTCATATCATTTTGGGAGAAAACGCATCAGGCTGTTCCATTGTCCCACAATGTTGCCATATGGCAACGTACCCAAAAGTACCCCTCCCAAAAAAAAAAAAAAAAGAAAAAAAAAGAAAAAAAGAAATGTTAATTTGAGTCTATTTTATATATAAAAAAACACTGTAAATTTTTTTTCCATGATTGCATAATAATGCGTGCAGTAGAGGGTTAATATGGTGTCCGCTTTAGCTTTGCCTTTAAATAAAATGAACTTTAATGATCTCTTTCTGTGGTGTGGTTGGTGTATGAGGAGGTTCTGTTAGTGTTGTAAAATAAATCTCCTCCCGTCGGCCTTGGTAAAGTTCAGATTGCTCTCCTAAGCAGGGGGCCCATTATCCGCTGAAACATAGACTTAATCAGAAACTTTTCCAAGAAATGAACTTGGACCTTGTAGGGTTGGACTTGGACTTGAACCCCTCACCCCCCCTTTTGAGAGCCGAATTGAACGTGCATGTTCAGGAAACATATGGATCTACCTTTTATTAAATGTAATATAATAAACATTGTTGGTTCCCGTCCAGACAAAATGTCTGGTGCATATCCGCGATTCTTGTTTAATCTTTTTCCATCCCGTCAAGTTGACTGAACCATCATAAAACAATGGTAACCCGTGGAAAGCAGGTCACAGCCTTGTATTCTGTGATCTCATGCAGTTTCAGAGTTAACAAAGCACTTGTAATCTCACTTCTGTCCATTTGGCTGCTCCTTTTAGCATGTTTTCATAGAGAGGGTTAAAGCCTGTGCATCAAAGAAAGCATTGTGAGAAAGCAACTTTCACTTCGGTCAGTTTGTGTAGGCATCAACAAATCTCATTTAGCTTCCACTTCACGGACTAATTTTTCAGTCATGCGTTATGCACAAACTCATTTCCAAACTACTGCTCCTACTTCATAGTCAGATGAAGTCTATTAAAGTGAATGGCAAGTGTGACTTAATGGATATTTATCCCTTTGCGGTGTTTGTGAGAATGGGTGATACTGATAGCCCTCTTTTTACAAAGTGTGAACAAGCATTTAGCCTAATTCATAAAGTATTTCAATGGGCTATTACAATAAAACACTATTACTCAAAATAATCAAAAGTTCACAGTGAAAATAAAATAATTTTTGAGCTCGTTTGTCCTTGTGACTCACACCGACTATTAGACTCAACTATTAGCAAGTATCCAAGATCTAAATGAGGAACATATTAATCCTCTTAACACGCCTCTTCTTGCAGTTGTAAGAAGTAATGGTGTCAGTTTATCCACATTCAAGCAGCGCTTACACAGCTTACATGACCGGCTCATTTAGGTAGACTTTACCTGTTCGCCGACACTTTCCCTCCCCCATGTCTAATCCAGACTGATCAGAGCAATTTACACAAGGGCAAGCGGGCCTGAAAACAGTTGTAATCAATAGAAGGGTCTTAAAATAAACTGGGCACACCCAGAAAAGATTTCTGTGATTTTGTAGTTCATTAGCACTATACCGCAGGTGAAAAGTTTGGAATAATTATCTTTGAAAAAAATCTTGATTTTTTTTTTTGGATGAGATTAAAAAAAAATACAGTAAAAACAGAAATATTATTTAAATTTAAAGGAGCTTTTTTCTATTTTAATATATTTTCAAATGTATATTTTCAGCATCATTGCAGTCTTCAGTGTCACATAATTCTTCTGTAATTATTCATATATTCTAATTTGGTGCTCAAGAAATATTTCTTATTATAATTATCAATGTTGAAAACAGTTGTGATGCTTAATACTTTTGTGGAAACCGTGATACACTACCACTCAAAAGTTTGGGGTTGGCCTAAGTAGCCTAAGATTTAAAAAAGAAAGAAAGAAAGACCTTTAGGATGGACATGCAGCTTAATTGATCAAAATTGACGGTAAAGACTAATAGTGGTGCAAAAGTTTCCTGTTTCAAATAAAGGCTGTTCTGTTCTATGATAACTTTCTATCAAAGAATCTGAAAAAAAGTATCACGTTAAGCATCACACGGAAGACTGCAGCTTTACTGTCACAGGAATAAATTACATTTTAAAATAGATGAATATAAAAACAGTTCCTTTATAATTGTAATATTTCAAAATATTACTGTTTTATTGTATTTTTGATCAAATAAATGCAGCCCCATTAAAGACTTCAAAAAATAACTGTAAGTAATTAATTTATAATTAATATAATTGTTCATTACAACTTTTGACCGGTAATATAACTGAAAATATTAATTTAGTGTAATTAAAAATATAACTGCAGGTTTCTTTCGGATGAAATGATACTGATTGACGAGTAGATTTCTCATGCATCTTTCTGCAGCGCTGCCACCTCGTGGTTACATTCAAGAAAACAACAGCCTTTTTGATCTGTTCAATGAATTACTGTATTAAAACGAACATTCAAATATGTCGAGGTGTGGATGTACACGTTATTATTACAAACTATAAGATTTACATTCGATTAACTATAAAATATAAATCATATGGCTTCATTGAACAGAATGAGAGAATCCATTGAATGAGACAGATAGCGTTTATTCATGGGTAGAAAGGATGGCTGTCGGTTTAAAAATCAATTAGTGCCCTTTTCTTTACACACAGTCCTGAAAATAACCAGAATGGAAAGAGCCAGAAAATAAAATACCTCATTTTGAGAGATGGCATATATAAAACATAACAGCAGATGTAACACATTTTGTCATAATGAAATTCAGTTTTTCACAGTGATTGAATATATACATTCCCAAAGCTTGACTCGTTACACTGATACTAAACAAAGGAGAATACAATTCAAATTGTTGCAAAAGCCTTGTTATAACATATTTAGTCAAAAGGATACAAATGAAATATGGAATGTAAAGGAAGACGTTGTCAAGAGCCAATCCCAGTTTTAGTTTCTGAAGTGCTACATTTTGGTGAGTTAGTTTGATAAAAATTGTTCTCTGGATTTCAGATGGAAATACTCAACATGAGGTCACTTTTCTTTAGGATTGAAGCGTGTTGCTTTAAATCAAATGAATCTTAGAGTTTTAATTTAGAATACACTGAGGAATGTCATAGCGGCCTGACCAAATTCTCCTTTTTATTTATTTACTAGAGAAAAATCGGTGGGTTGCCTGAAAGGTTTAAGCCAGGAGTTTAAACCAGAATAAACACACAACACTATTTTTAAAGGAAAATAATATTTCTTTAAAGATCAGGCAAAAAAGAGCATGTTTCCACAAAATGAGTGCATGAGGTATAAATACAGCATAAAGTTGAGTTCATCCTCAGGGTGAAATAGATGTTGTAGTTAAGTTCTATCCGAGAACAGAAATATGTACAGGATATCATGGACAGCAGCTGTGAAAGGCTTTGACTGATGTGCAGAAAAGAGCTGGTAGAGCAGATGGGTCCAGGACAGGGAGGGGGTTTACCAAAACCTTTGGATCACAGGCCAAAAGACATGAACACGGTTAGAGATCTTGACAGAACGAATGCACTTAGTGCAAACTATGCTGTGCCTCTTTCGTTCTATTATTCTGGACAAAAACTTGATTGGATGACGTTAAAGGGTTAGTTCACCCTTAAGACTTTCATTCATCTTCGGAAAACAAATTAAGATATTTTTGATGAAATCCGAGAGATTTCTCCTCTCGTCGCTTCATAACATTAAGGTTGAACCACTGTAGTCACATGGACAATTTTAACAATGTCTTTACTACCTTTCTGGGCCTTGAAAGTGGTAATAACGTTGCAGTCTATGGGGGTCAGAAAGCTCTCAGATTTCATCAAAAATATCTTCATTTGGAACGACATGAGGGTGAGTAATTAAAGACAAGAATTTACATTTTTAGGTGAACTATCAATTTAATAACAGTCTGAGTGAAACCAGAATTTACACCACAAAGCATGCAAATCAAGACATGCAGCCAACAGTAGTTTTACTGGTAAGGACATGACAAGCAGATGCAAAATAAAATTAGCAAAGCAACAAGATTTAAGACGACATTGAAGTGAGTTTTGTAAGTATGACAGCAATTTCCCTACAATATAACCAATTTGATCATTAGCATTCATGCAGACATTGTTTCCCCCACATCAGTAACAACACACTCAGAGTAAAAAAACAAAACTTACTTTATTCACACCTGAAATGGAAGAGAGAATAAACAGAATAAGGGGGGGAAAAAATGTACTGATGTTATAACATCTCCAGCCGGTGTTCTCTATTTTGTTTTACTTTATTTACAGACAAACGTCACAGGCACAAATCAATGAACACAGAAGATAACTTAAATATAGAGTCATTCTGAGCAAAATGACTGAACTTTGGCAGGACAACTTTTCCACAGTTGGCACACATTTTGTCCTCTCTTAGAGAGCTGTTTTTGAATCTTTCACATGATCGACATGTTCAGAACGCATCCTTGAGTTAAACCTGCACTCGCATACTATACAAGTCTCATTCCCTTATTTCAAGTTTTCCCAAATAAACTCCATATTGGCAAAAAAAAAAAAAAAAGGGACATATTACAGCACTTCAATCCAATAGCAGTTTTTAGAACATACCTCTTCCAACTACTAAATGCCTATTATTGGGTATATTGATATATAATTGATATTTAGTCGTTTTCTGAACTTATTTCTTTACTAACACCAAGACTTTTTTGAACAAAAGCATAAATCTTCCAAAATAGTCTCAGAACCAAATCTTGTCACATAAAATTGGAATTAAAAGGCTCCAATTTCTTGATAATCCACGTGTCTGAAAAATATTGAAGTCCGTTCACAGAGTTAATCAGATTGAAATGCAACATGCTCAATTGTATAATATGGTCATTCAAATTATATTCAAATGACGGATCGGACGGTTAAGGAAGCAAAATCACCAAGTTCCGGTTATGATTCTGAATACTGACTAGTACTTTACAGTCCTGCTGATGGTCACGTGACTACAAAAACAAGTATGACTCAATAATACGAGTTTGAAACACACCCCAGAACATTTTCTGAGCTTGCTGCTTTGTGTAAACAGCGTAATGCTTTATATTTATGACCATTTTTCTGATCTGCTGCAAATATCCGGCTCCTCATTGCTCCCTTAATATTGTTTTAAGCATTTACGCTATTTGGAATGACACCTCGACTCTTGAAATCGAAAAGCACATGTTCTATCAACAGTCGCCAGAGAGGACAAAAATATGAGCCAACCCTCTTCGATTTACAGTGCTACAGCTTAATGTATAGTTATATCATTTTATACGTGCACACACACTAACAAGTGCATTGTATAGATGTAAAATAAATACAAGTGTGTGTGTAAAGAGAAACTCTCAGACACATGTACAAAACATGATCTGTTAAATAAAACCAAGTACTGCACGGTTCATCACGCATCTAGATTTTGCTCGGTGTAAAAATAAACGTTACTCTGCACTGTTTGCAGATAGTTAGAAGCTGACAACTGAAGAAAGAAGACCCTCCCAGTTTGGAAAACCCTACTGCCGTACTTTTCCGGGAATGTAGTTCCGGTCAATACTTTCATCCTGCAGGAACATGTGAAGACAGCGTTCGTTCTGGGCCAAAGGATGACCTGCAATTCTGAAGAGGAAACATGAGCAAAATATGTATGCATGCAATCCATCAAAAGCCTTTTTAACAGAAAATGTGAAAAAAAAAAAAAAAATCACAATAAATTTGTGTAATTATTGCAGACCCTCAAATTTTAGTAACTGGTGTCTTGTACTTTTATAATTTAGCAGTGTCCGTTGTGCATCATTTCGATGGCCAACCTGTTGATGAACTGTTCAAGCCCAGATCGTCTCTCCTCAATGAAGGACTCCTCAAAAATGCCCTCATCTCCACGGAAGGGGAGCTGTCTCTTCAATGCCTTTCCAGGCAATGGAGGCACAACAATCTAGGAAATATTTTCATACATTTAAAAAATATTAATTAATTTCTAATGCCTAAAAATGATCAAAGCGTTGCTGAAAAACCTGTTGCACACAATCTTCTACATGCCTTCTGATTTATAGTTAATACTTTTACAGTAAGTAAAAGGCCTTTACATACTTTTAGGGTGCATTCACACCTGCCTTGTTTGGTTCGATTGAATCGAACTCTAGTTCGTTTCCCCCCTTGGTGCGGACCTTTTGGGCAGGTGTGAATACAGCAATCGAACTCGGGTGCGGACCAAACAACCGAACCGAGACCCAGCTGAAGAGGTGGTCTCGGTACGGTTCCAAACGAACTCTGGTACGGTTCGTTTATGGTGTGAACATGAACCGACCCAATTGCAAGAAAGCACTGCGCCTTTGAGTTAAAAGGCTTCCGTAGTCGGAGATTTTGGCATAATGGTTTGTGTTATTGTTGGTTAAGTGCGAAAGAGAATTCCATTCCGGCGCGCTGTCTGGCCACACGATACTGTTGCGCGTCTTTCTGCGCGTCGTGTGTGCATCATTGGAATGGAATGAATGAATGAATGAGTGTGTGCATCAGGACATTCACATACAGAGCGTTCTCTTTAGTCTAATCGCTTTTGCAGTTCATATAATGTAACGATAGTTACAATACAAGGATGACGCTGCGTTAAACTGGACAAATCACAAGCGTTAACATTGACAGCACTTGATAGCAGGATATACAATAAGAATCTCATTATTTGAATGTGTGAACATAGCCCCTCTCTATGAATCAAAACTTTATACCTTATCCGTCTTCTGCGCAGTTTCTTCATATTGCTTTTGTACAGAATAACACAAAATTAGTAAAATAACAAATATTGCAGTACGAAATATCTCCATGCTGAGCCTTTTTTGCACTTCCTGATTTCCCTACTTGAGAATCCTTGTCCAATGAATGGACGACCTTAGCACACGTGTGGTTTTGTTTACAAATTTTGGTTCACTTGCAAAAAGAGCAGTGTGAAAGCGTACCGTACCAAAAAAAAAAATTATTTGGTCCGGACCAAAGCAAGTGAACTATCGGACTTTCCTGGTGTGAATACACCCTAAATATTTCCACCCTCAGATGGTGGTACACATCTTTTTGCCATGAAACGCAAGAATAACTTTTATATTGTTAATGATATTTCAAAATGAACAGTTCCTGGACTGAAGCAACTTAGGTTGACTTGATCATTTCTATCTATCTATCTATCTATCTATCTATCTATCTATCTATCTATCTATCTATCTATCTATCTATCTATCTATCTATCTATCTATCTATCTATCTATCTATCTATCTATCTATCTATCTATCTATCTATCGTTTTTTAGAAAAATCATGTTAAAATGTATCAAAGGCTTCTGAGGAACGCTTATTTGTACATCTCTCAATCATTGTATTGTATTATGGGTTTTGCTGCCACAATTAAAACATCAGAGCTTTGATCATAAATAAGGGTGTCACGATTTCGAACGAATCGAAATTAAGTCACAATCTCAAACTTCGAATTAAAAATTGGAATCGTCGAAGCTGCCACGCCCCCATGTCACGGAAAAAAACACGCGTGTTGAAGTGCTGCGAGTCAACCTCCTCTAACTTGGCTACAGCCATTCAAAAGATAGCATGGCAACTGCAGATGCATGCAGGAGACCCATCAACAGAACTTGAACCGTCTACTCTTTCATTGAAGTCACCGGTGTGGAAGTATTTGGGATTTCCAGTGAGTTATGTTGTCAACGTTCGCGCTTCAAAAAAAGCCACAGTTTGCAAGCTCTGCTATGTGCGTGTACCATATTCTTCCACTGGAAGCACGACTAACATGGCAGGGCATCTCCACAAAAACATAGATTTATCTGTTAAATCAACAACTGTTTGTTTGTTTTGTGAACTTGAATGTCGTCATCTGCCTGTTTGCGAGGCGGCTTTATGTATGTGTGCAAAGAAAACCATCTCTCAGAGAGCGCACGAGTACTGAATAGTTTAAAATCGCTTGAATGTTCAAACTGGTAAGACTTAAAAAGATGTGCAAATGGTAAACTTTAGTTACTCACGATGCAATGCTGGCCCGATTATGCAAGTGACAATTCCGTCATGTCACGACTCCCGAAACGTGAGAGCAGCGCGCTTGACGATTGCCTTGTGCAACCCATTTTGAGAGACAGAGAGAGAGAAGACGCGGCACCGCTGAACACTCACGCTGTTTCTGAAATTGCATTTCGCAGACAGTTTAAAATGACTGATTTGATTTTATAATCTGCGTATGGCAGGTTATGGCAAAATATGTCAGGTTATTTTGCTTAAGTTTCCAATTGACTAAAGATATAAGGTATTATATTATATTATAAGCACTTTATGTTGTTAATAAATGTTTTAAATTTGACAATGTAGTGTGGTACATTGCGAACAAAGGTCAGATATTATATTGCATAAAGGTATATTCTAAAAACGGCATAGCAACCTGTGCTTTTTAAAAAAAATAATGTAAAAATCGAGAATCTAATCGAACAGTGAACTTAGAATCGAAAATTCAATCGAATCGAAGATTTTGAGAATAGTGACACCCCTAATCATAAAGCTAAGGGCCAGATTTAAAGGTCCCGTTCTTCGCGATTCCATTTTTCAAACTTTAATTAGTGTGTAATGTTGCTGTTAGAGCATAAATAATACCTGTAAAATTATAAAGCTCATAGTTCAATGCCTAGCGAGATATTTTATTTAACAGAAGTCCCCTTTCAAAGCATATAGCGAACGGCCGGTTTGGACTACGTCCCCCTTTTTTAATGACGTAACTAGAACAGTTTTTTTTACTAATCTACGCCCACAGGAATACACAAAAAAGGGGGCGTGGTCTTGTTGCGCTCCCACGGAGAAGAAGCACTTCAGCAGCGCATGCATCTCCAATTTATGGTAAGAGGCGTGACCTTTCCGGGCAACGTGCGATAAGCTGCTGTCGAATCACAACACAGGAACCGCTGGCACAATCACTGTACGTTCACACCGCCGCCGACTTGAGCTTCCAAAGCTGCCGGAAGTCATTCATTTTCAATGGAAGCTGGCTTTTCTCAGCTGCAAGGAGCGTCAAATCCATCGGCGTTGCGTTTTGAGCGTCAATCAGAAAGTTGAAAGAAGCTCAACTTTATGGTAATGAGCTGTGACGCGGTTCAGCGGCAAAACGCCAGCAACCAATCGGAATATAGACGTCCTTCGCGCTGGCTGATTCCGGAGAAACATACAATGTAAACTTTCGTTCCTACCAAAACATTAGTTCCGAGAAAATGGAAGAGAAGCTACTAATCGCCGTTGCTGGGTTTCCTACAGGTTTCCTATCATTTATGACATGACGTTGTTTGCTTATAGGGACCGCATGAGCGCAACTTTTATTTGAAATATTTACGAACGCTCGTTTTCAAGCGGGAATGCAATTAATTTGCTCACGGTGACACCGATTTGACCGCAAATAATAATAATAATAGCTAACTATTCTTTTTTCCCCGACCAAATGTGACCAAAACGGTTATAAAAATGCTGTCATTATAAAAGGTTTCTTCAATGTATTGCTTGTTTTTTTCTGTTTATTACATTTCCTGTTGTGACACTTCTATTCTCCCTGCAACGTCAGAGCGTTCAAAGCATCCAAAGCGTCAGCAAGCTTCCCCGTACTTTTTGACAAGCGTCCTTGACAGGGGGGCCAGAGCTTCTTTGACGCTCAAGTCGGCGGCGGTGTGAACGTACAGTCAGAACTCGTTACGTATTTCTGAAGGAGGGACTTCATAGAACAAGGAAGTCATCAGGACGTTTTTTGGACAGTGAAAACAGCGGTATACAGATAAGTAAATTGTGTGAAAAATACTGTTTTTTTTACACGCGAAACATGAACATGTTAATATTGCACACTGTAAACACAATCAAAGCTTCAAAAAAACATGAAGAACGGGGCCTTTAATAACAGCTTTCACTAGTGCAAACTACTGTCAGGAATTACTAAAGACACGCAAGTGAAAAGTTAGCGCTGAAAGTCGTAGACAGGGTTTTTTTTGCGGCTGAACTTATTGTATATGCATTTGTAGGAGTTTCCCTTTCAGACACACAATTTATGGGAGGAGAGTATTTAAATGAATCATGAAATTATATTTACTAAGCAGTAAATAAATTACATTTACTAATCACGAGCAGAACCTTCCACTCCCATCTGTGCTTTTGTGGAATTGCACTCTCACGCTAATTTGCCCAGCTTAGTAAATCTGGCCCTTAGCATTTAAATATCATCTTACTAAGACATATTAATGAGAGATATAGCATAACAACTGACGTTTATATGCAAGTAGTCTACTTTAATGTTATGAATATATCATTGATTTACATTACAAGCTTGCAGAATTTCATCTTACTTTTTGACCATATAAATATCAGCAACTCCACGAAACTGCATATTTTTGCTCAATTTGGGGCTCTACTCTGAATAATTTTTTTCCCCTCCTTGAGTGTGAACTCTATATTGTCCTATATCACACTATGAGCCATAAAAGACTGATGTATCGAATATGATATAACAAGCTTTTTTTTTTTTTTTAATATTATTAATATTTAGTATTTATAAAAGGTTAAATCTGATCCATTAAAAATAGACTTTTCTGATTTTAAATGTGGGGTTTTAAAGGGTCTACATGAAGTCTCTCCTAAAGCTTTTTCATTACGCAAAACATTTTTAGTTTCTGCACAGAACATGTAAAGACAACCATTTGTTCAGTACGTGTATTTTATGATGCAAGATGTTTCCTGCAGGATATCATACCTTGCTGTCTCTTTCCAGCTCATTCTTCAGCCACTCGAAGTCGCTGTATCTTCGTCTGACACACGAGTCCTTCAGTTTAAAAATGGGAAGATTTGTCTGGATTTCAAAGGAGAAAGCATAATAAGTCACATGATTGTGTATATATATGTGTGTGTCTGTGTATGTATGTATGTATGCATGTATGTGTGTGTGTGTATATAAGCGATGATGCAAGGGATTCTCGAATACACCTAACATAATTTTAAAGATATTATTAAACTGATACAATTATGCATTTGTAATAGTAAAGCATCCACGTTTATCTTAATGGCTAAGATGCAAGATAACCAAATCGGTTGTTGATGGTTGAGAGTAACAACAACAGCTAAATTAGCTCAATCTCAACTCTCCAAATTGCTTAAATCCAGCTTGCTTTCACAGAAAAAAAAAACCTTTGTTCTTTTAGATCAAAACCTAGCAATTCATAAAATAAAATCATGTTTTTAAAAACTAGACGAGGGTAAGACTTTTTCTCGTCGAATGAGGTGTTAGTTAGCATGTTAGCGCGCAGGCTAACTAGGCCGAACCGAGCCGCAGCCTCTCTGACACACACACAATCACATTCATTCACTGGCCAGCCTACCCTCATCCGGACTTCATAAGTGGTGAAGCGATTGCGGCCGACTCCGATAGTCTGCGGGTCGTACACGTCGATTTCCAGAAAGTTGCTGGGAGGGCCGTAGGCGTCCGTCAGGTCCTGCGGCTTGGAGTTTAACCGGCGAGTATCGGCCACTGTGGGTTCGGACATTTTTGACGACTTTTTTCAGACTAACTACGTCGAGGTGTAGTCTAGGGCACGTACGAATGAGATGGTTTTGATTAAGACATTAAATCGATGGAGGGTAAAATTGGGCTAGGTACTTCTGCGAATCTAAAACTTGAATGTGTCCAGTTCAGCAACACCACAGGAAATCCTGCGTTTCTCCCCGATGCGATGATATGTGCAGCAGTTTGGGAGACGTACTTCATGACCCACCCTCCATCACCCGGCTAGCCAATAGAAGTTATTTTTTTGATGACTGAGAGGCGATTGACCTATACGATTTGAGAAGACTGTGAGGGGGTGGGCTCTTTAGGATTCCATAAAATTTCATAACAGAAGGAGAGACTGAAAAAATGTCTGGATTTTGATTTAAAAAAAAATAAAAAAATTATCAGATTGCCAAAAACAAACAAACATTTTTTTTTACACTTTAAAAAAGTATCAGTACACTTTACACTTTTTGAGGATATTTCGTCGATTTCAGTGATGTGGCAGCTACTCGTGATGAGTAGAAAATGTTTATGGATGAATTTTCTTACTACCCTACTACTACTAGTAAGTAACCTGCTTTAAAACATGTAAACGTGCCAAAATAATAGCCTACATAGATCAAGAACATATATCTTTATTTTACCTCTTAAGTTTTAAACCAGTTGTATTTAGTGTAGTGGTTTGTGAAAGTCTTGGGTACATAGGCTACTCTACAGTGAAGGGCATGACAGGTAGGCCTACATAAAATATACAAAATACAAATATACACGGTAGGCTACATAATACAGAACGTTAACACGGTACAAAATATACACAATACAGCATTTTAAAAATACAGTACACATACACACATATACAACCTATACACAATACAGAATTGCACCTTCAAATATCTCTAACAGGCTAGCCTACGATGCGGAGTGTAGGGATAATAGCATAAACAATTTTATTTTTGTCAGTTAATAGTTTTTTTATTCAGTTTTAGTTTTAGTTAATTTAGTAGGCCTAGGCTACGTAGTGAAATAAGTGTTCTTTTATATTATATTATATTTCAGTTAACATTTGTTTCATTTCAAATAGCGATTTTTAAAAAAAACGTTTTAGTTTTTAGTTAACTATAATAGCCCTGCCTTAAACTTGGAATGATATAGAAACCTTTAATGAAGTAGCCTATGTTGAAATAGGCCTAAAGTTGTTCCACATTTTATTTTAAGGCACATTTTGGATTATGGTCAAAACCACAAAAATTAATGAAAGCCATGCGTAATTGTTATTAGCTAGTACATTCATTTAAAATAAATAAAGTGTTACCAAATTCGCTTACATTAGCATATGTTCGGTTTACCCCTAAATTTCAGATATTTGTTTCACTCGTGTAGGCTTAGGCTATGCTAGCTATATGTAATGGCAATTACATGATTTGAAATTTAAAACTGTATAAAGACCTCTACCTCTGGAGGGTGCTAAAATTTAGCATCAGCCACTATAACCATATGTTGTTGATGTTACATCCAAACCACCATGGGTGATTACATTTGACCCTGAGCCCTAACCCCAACCCAATTTTATATGACTGTCCTCTTTACATTTTGTGTGTGTTTTTTTTTTAAGACACAAAAAGACCAAAGACCAGCTGGATGTCGTTGTTTGCCACTAAGGACAATAGTATCCAGCTGCAGACCCGCAGCACCACCAGTTTCAGAACCCCAGCGCCAGAACCGGAAGTAGGGGCGGAGCTTACGTTCTAACACCAGCGCCAGGACCGGAAGTGAGGGGCGGAGCTTACGTTCTAAACCGAGTAACGCCACCTAACGTTTTGGAGCGTAATTTGCTTAGACACGAAACGGCATTATTACACACGAAACGTCATACTTTATACGTATTATAATGATACATTAAGGTATAGTACAATAAGCATTTTAAAACAATGATTTTGTGTAATATAATTGTATATAGTTATCCGTTTCATTGTATTATGAGAGTTACTTCCTGGTCATGATGGTAAAAAAAATAATAAATAATAAATTTTATATAAAATATACTTTATTTCACAAGAACATGTGCAGCATGCATTTCTCTTTATGTAAAATAATGTCCAAAATCTTTGAACATTCGGCATTGTTTTAAAAGAAACAATAAAAATGTACCGTAAAACTTCAAATAATAGCCGAGTCCCAAATAGCCGATTGTCTCTTTAGCCTACACGCCTGGTGTGGCTGCAGGTTTGGGTCAATAAAGGCCGGTCTCAAATAGAGGTCGGGTCTGTTTTTTAGTTTCAGGTTGTATTTAATCTTCTAAAACCCGTCAGATCGTCCGCTTTTTGGCGGCCGCCAAAGCAAATTTGTGTCCCGCCAAAGCCTATTTTGATCGGTGAGTGATGTAGAATAGAATGACTGCTGCGCATGACAGGGCGCTTAACGAGCAGAGAGAGAGAGAGCCCTGGCCGCGCGCGCGCACTCTGTCTTCAAACAACACGAGCGCTGTCTTGCTCTTTATTTGTCACATACCAGTTCATACAACGAGCAGTGAAATGTAAGTCTGGTATTCCTATAGACTCACTGTGTAATATAAACATACCCTAAATATTATTTAAAAGATGCAACAATTTTAAATATTTTTAAATACTTGCAAAAATAACCTTGCTTGTGTCATTGTCAATAATTCCGCCCCTCCCTCACTTCCGGTTCTGGCACTGGGGTTCTGGCGCTGGGGTTCTGAAACTGGTGGTGCTGCGGGTCTGCAGCTGGATATATCTCACTAGGGACGTTAACTACCTGACGAGCACTAGGACCCGGTCGGATTAGTAGTGATTTGGAGTGGTCTGCACGCGCCCCTGTCAAAAGTGTAGTGTTGGCCACACGCGCGCGCTGCATAAGATTCTGGTGTACATTACAGTGAGAGTCTTCTGAAGCCTGGGAACGGAGTACTCAAGAAAAGCATTCTCTTCGTTATGGAGATCACCGATTCCACTTGTAAGTCTGACATTTTTTTCATACGAAAAAGCCTTACAGTTACAGTCTTCGAAATAAGTCAATCAGTAATGCAATATTTTAGCTTTTTAACATTAGTTAGTCATTTGCTGTGTACCTGGTGTAAGGTGAATCAAATGTTTTACACAATTCTCTTATCTTTATCGGGATAAAAAGGAAACATCATCAACACAATTGCACAGTTTTGTTGGTGATGCAATAGATGGCTAATATCTTAATGAATTAATAAAGTCACTGTGTGTCAAATTTATATGAACGACACGAAATTTATGTCCCTTCCCTCTTAATGACTATAAATGTAAACAATGATTTCAGTAGGCTAACTGCTATGTCATAAAGGCAATTTCAATTATAACCATTTTAATATGGATTTTAGTGAATGTGACATTTATTAAATTATTAAACTTTGTTATTATGTCCCCAGGATATGTGTCATTCTTGTGACCATCATAACTCCCCTCTATGAAAAAGATGCACAATTCCATAAAAAGCATAATGACATCATAATGACATCATCACCCTTTCAGCATGTGAACCCTTCAAGTCTTGAATAGCCAATCCTGTTGTCATGATTTTGTACAGTAAATAAAAGTGAATAATTTTCTAAAAATGCATTAACTTTTAAACGCATTCTTTGTCTATTATGGATAAAATCTTAAATATATACACTTATAAAATACCTTTTTAAAGCCAATTAGTGGAATGACCCATAAGGCCCACATATAAATGTCCAGTTCGAGGAAAATATAATATTTTTATCAAGAATTATAATAGTAAATTTTAACACCTCCTAATTAATTATACTGAATCAAAAGTGCAAGACCTTTCACAGTCAGTGTTACAACATCTATAAAAATATCTCTCATGCTGTATTCTTCATGTCCCTAACTTTCCATTGACCCAGCTATCAGCTCCTTCATCCTGCTGTTCTGAGCTGGTTGAAGGCCAGTTCGGCACGATGGCTATTCATGATCTGAAAGAAGACTTCCTTGCCTCTCATGCAGGAAATCCGCTTGAGAATGTGTTCAACTCTGAGTTAGTTTGCATGGATGCCAGGAAAAAACAGCCCATCAGCTGCTGTTTTTAGTCATTGTGGGATTTGGATATGCCCTTTTATGTATAATTGTTTCTTGTGAGTAGCGTTAGTGAGTTTAGACATGTAGGTGGTGTACCTTATTTGATGAAAACATGTTAGGGTCTGTGTGCTCTTTAACCCTGATATGAATCATTTAATGTTTTGTTATGTACACTACCGATCAAAAGTTTGGGGTTGGTAACATTTTAAAAATGTTTTTGAAAGAAGTCTCTTATGCTCATTATACATTTTCTCACTGACCCTAAACTTTTGATCAGTAATGTAAGATCATGGCACTTCAATTAAAATAAAGGTTTGTTTTTCCTAATTGCTACTGAATTCACAGATGAATTGATTCACAGCAATTCTAGTCAGATATATGACAATATATTTTGATGCAAGTCAAGACTTCATTCAAACTCCTAAGGTGGGAGTGTGTGTGTGTGTGGGGGGGGGGGGGGGGTGGGGGGGGGGGGGGGGGGGGGGGGTCCTCCGGTTCCTTATACACATGGCTTACATCTATAAATACTCATGGCCAAATAGACAAAGGCTTCTCTCTTCTGCAGCTTGCGAGCATGATGGGTCCGCACAGGCCTGACACTGTCTCTCACTCCAGCATTCCTCAGACCGAGTGCAACCGTCAAGGGCGGCTCTTGTCTGTAGAGAAATCACACAGGGTTATTACGATATAGAGGGGCCGGAAAGGTCTTTGTGTGCGACCCTGTGGCCCCTTCCACACTTGTGTCCTCAAAGAGTGGAAATCAAAGCCAGTCATCACAGGGCCTTGCTGTGGATGACCAACATATTAACCCTTCAATGAAAGGAGGTCAGATGCTGAGGCCCGGGATAAAGCTGGAAGAGCTTTTCCTAATCAACCTTCCTCAATCCCATTAGTCATACAAAGTAGTAGCCTAGATATGGGTAGGAGGAGCATTATGTCTGAAAGATAAGAATTTCAAGAAAGATTTGCAAGCGTGTTTTAACTTTTTAACTGTCAAAAAGTCAGTGGGGTCTAAAACATTTTTTCTTTTGTGTTCCACAGTATAAAAGATATTCATACAGTTTTGGAACAACATAAGGGAATGATAATTCTTCCAGTCCAGTCTTCCACCTGCTAGAGGCTCATTTCAGTTTTGTTATCAACTAAACTTAATAATGGTTTTCATTAATTGAAATAAAGCTGAAATATAAGAAGATATAAATACGGTATTAGATGAAAAAAACCCTTAAACTGAAAAAAACCCCTTAACTAAACAAACTAAAATTGAAATAAATAAATAGAAATATTAAAAAACAAAAATGAATGATAAAGGTACATAACAAAATCTGAAAATATATCAAATAAAAGTTAATAAAAATAATATAATGGTATTTAAATAATACTAAAATAACACTGGATTTAAACTGTAAAATAGTCATCTGATGAGAATTAATGTGCTTGTGATAAGGGTGATTTTCTAAAGAGAGCTTACCTGAAAGACCTTTTTCTGTTTACAATTCTAATGTCTAATGGCAGTTCTTCATTGCCTGCCATTTTAAAAATGCTCATTTCATCCAAATCATTCACACTAAATCACAGATTTCTCATGCAACGATCAAAGATTAAATGGCTTGTTCAAGAGAACACAGTGAAAGATTAGGATTGTGTCAAAACAAAAGTCATGACAGCTTTTACAGCCGGGGTTGTTGTTGGGTAGAATGTACAAATGCAACTCTCATGACCGGGTGCCTTAAGTCTTATGACTGTAGTGTAGACACAGAGAAGACGGTGCAAGATATGGCAAAAGACTGCACTGTTCCTTTACTATAAACCCCATCTGGTTATGAACGGACAGTTCTCTTGTTCATTTTGATGTACTTTGTGCTGATGAGCCGGTTAGTCCTCTGGTGTCTGCCGACTGGCATTTTCTGAGGATCTTGCATAATCCAACTGCATAATACTTGGTTGCATATCTCAACTAGACTCTTCTCCAAGAGACACTCAGTCCTCCAAATATTTTTTCTGTGAGTGAAAACTGTCATCCCTGTGGTTTACAGAATCGGAAATATAGCATTATCTATCTATCTATCTATCTATCTATCTATCTATCTATCTATCTATCTATCTATCTATCTATCTATCTATCTATCTATCTATCTATCTATCTATCTATCTATCTATCTATCTATCTATCTATCTATCTATCTATCTATCTATCTATCTATCTATCTATCTGTCTGTCTGTCTGTCTGTCTGTCTGTCTGTCTGTCTGTCTGTCTGTCTGTCTGTCTGTCTGTCTGTCTGTCTGTCTGTCTGTCTGTCTGTCTGTCTGTCTGTCTGTCTATCTGTCTATCTGTCTTTCTGTGACAAATTTGGTGTAGATTTAAATTTTGTATATCATTTTGTACATGTTTCTGTGTACTGGAAAACAATGATAAGCATTTCAGAAGTTTTAAATGCTTTCATTGGCAAAAACATTCAATATAATGCAAAAGGTCAATATTTACAGTGTTGACCCTTCCTCTACATAACCTCTACAATTCACTCTGGCATGCTGGATATCAGCTTCTGGTGCCAAATCCTTGACTGATGGCGTTCCATTCTTGCCTTGTTAGTGCTAAGAGTTTATCACAATTTGTGGGCTTCTGCTTGTCCATTCGCCATTTGAGGATTGAACACGTTATCTATGAGATTACGATAAATTTCAATGCAAGTCTCTGAGGCACTTCATTATCACTCTTGCCTTGTGACATGGTGCTTCATCATGATGGAAAATGCACGGATCCTCACCAAATTGCTCCTGGATTGTTGGGAGAAGTTTCTCTTGCAGGACGGTTTGATTCCATTCTTTAGTCATGCCTGTGTTTTGGGCAGAATTGCGAGAGAGCTCAATCAGTTGGATGAAAAGCAACCCCACACATGGATGGTCTCAGGATGCTTTATTGTTGGCACAACACAGGACTCATGGTAGCGTTCACCTTTTTCATCCCCGGACAATACATTTTCCAGATGTCCCAAACAAGTCAGAAGGGGGTTTCATCTGAGAAAATATGTTCGCACCACTCTTCTGGTCTCAATCCTTGTATTTCCTGCAGAATTTCAGTCTATCCTTGATGTTTTTCTGGGAGAGTAGTGGCTTCTTTGCTGCCCTTCTTGACACAAGGTCTATGTCTAAAAGTCTTCACCTCACTGTGCGTGCAGATGCACTCAAAACCACTTGCTGCCAATACTGAGCAAGCTCTGCTCTGCTGGTGACACAATTCCGCAACCGACTCCTCAAGAAGGAGACACTCTGGAACGTCCTGAAGCCTTCTTCACTGCAGTTGAACCTCTCTCCTTGAAGTTCTTGATCCGGTAAATGGTTTAATGGTAAATGGTCTATCTATCTATCTTTCTTTATCTCTGTTCATAAGGCCTATAAACCTTGTGGCGGGAAGAGCAAACGACAGACACAGTGGGTGTGGCGTCAGGCCTCAGAGAGGTGTTTATTAACATAAAAATAAACATAAAATGTCCAAAAAGGGAAAATAAAGTGTCCATGAGAATAAAAGTGTCCAAAATAAATAGGGGATCTGGTGTCCTCATTGTGCTAGGGCACGTGCATGGAAGGTAGCTAGTGCTCAGATGGGTTGGTCCAGGTAAATATGGTGGGGTCCCGGCGGCCACACACGCTCTCAATTCAATTCAGGCGTGCCTCATCACGTGCCGCCAGTCCTGGTTGTTACAGCGTCCATCCTCTTTCTCACACCCACCCCCGTCAGGAACCTGACGAAGGGCGGCACACCAATGAGTGTAAGTTTCCCGCGAGTGGGCGTGGTTTCAGCGCCGACGGCAGACATGCCCCCAGCATTTGAGAGCAGAATACTGCTTATTTTATTTTATTTACTTGGCGTTTTTTTTATCAATCAAATTTGGCTGGGTGGTTGA